CCAAGCTTAAGTCTGAATAAACCATAAACCTTTGCTTTTGCATTTTGGTGTGTTGGGTCCTCGGTGGTCTTTTTGGGGTCCAGTGGATGAGGTACAACAAATTCATTTATATTTCATATATATCTCACGTATAAAGGCTGAAGGTGATTTTATTTTACTTTATTTGGTCTGAGACAGGGTCTCCCTGTAGCCCCAGCTAGCCGGGAACTCACTATGTAGACCAGGCCGGCCTTGAATTCACAGAGATCCACCTGCCTCTGCCTCCAAAGTGCTGGGATTGAGAGAGTGCATCACTATACCCATCCTTGAAGGTAATTTAAATATTTTATTTATTATTTTTATGTTTGTGTATGAGTGTATTGCCTACGTGTATATAAGCACACTCATGTAGTATAATGTCCGAGGAGGTCAGAAGAGGGCATCGGAATCTTCTGGAACTGGAGTTACAGACAGTCGTTAGTTGGCAAGTGAGTGTTGGGAATTGAACCTGGGTCTTCTGCAAGAGTATCCACTGCTCTTAACCACTGAGCCATCTCTCCAGCCCCTGAAGGCAATTTTATAGAAATTTAATAATTTTTTTTTTCTTTTTGAGACAGAGTCTCCCTGTAGCTCCAGCTGGCCTGAAACTATGCAGACCAGGCTAGTTCAGAGTTTAGACTTTCAGATTAGGAATAACCAACCTCTATGTCACTATAATCAACAGTTCAATTCTGAAATCCCCCTCCAGTGTAAAAAAGTTTAATTTTCATCTGCTTCAAACTCCTATGTAGCTGAAGGCGACCAAGAATGGCCTTGAACTCTTGATCCTCTCGCCTGTACCTCCCGAGTGCTTGGGTTACTTACTGGTATATACCAGTACCACTGATTTTCTAATGGCCAAGTGCAATCAATGGACTCCCCCTCCCACTGCTAGTCCCTTAGGTTTCTGGCAACAATCTCTCTGTTGCCAAAATTTTCTCTTCTTTTGAGTTTTGGAACAGGAATGCTGAATTCTCCTCATTTCTGATAAAATTGCAAAATACTGTGTCCATCCCCTAATCCTAAGGGTTCTTTTGGCATCTTCCCACTCTTGTTTTCACTTGTTTGTTTGTTTGGTCTTTTGAGACAGGGTCTCCCTGTAGCTCCAGCTGCCTGGAACTCACTCTGTAGACCAGGCTGGCCTCAAATTCACAGAGATCCTCCTGCCTCTGCCTCCCAAGTGCTGGGATTAAAGGCGTTCGCCACCACGACCCGCTCACTTTGTTTTTGTTTTTTTTTTAATCTCTACATTCCCAACCTGATAAGTCACAAAGCTTATCTCTCCTCAGTCTAGTTATCTTCTTCGGTATTTATCAACAATCTATGGAAATTGAACAGATTCCAAACAGAATAGTCTTTCCTTGCCTTGCCCAATGCCAGCAGTTTCTGACGTGCTTTTCTGTTCTCAGACTGTAAACAGAACCACAATCAATTCACTGCTCCATCAAGCCCTGGCTGTCCACCCTCCATAGCCAGTTGTGTGAGTTCCACTCCTTAAATGGTTTACAAATCTGTCCCTGTTTTGGTCTTTCCTACAGATATGCACACCTTAAAGGAAGTCAATGCATGTTTGTTGAACAGATACCTCAGTTGATTTATCAGGTCCAAAGACAAAGTGAAATCAATTATGGTACAAATTATTAGCCCGTGTTAGTAATCACTAGAATTGGTTTTAAAATTTTTATTATTTTTATGTGTGTGGATGTATTGCCTGCATGTACACAAGTGCACCCGTGTCGTGCAATACTCAAGTAAGTCAGAAGATAGCACTGGATGCCCTATAACTGGAGGACGGTTGTTAGCTACCATGTGGGTGCTGGGAATGGAACAGCCTGTGCTCTTCATCGCTGAGTCATCTCTCCAGTCCCTGGAATTGGTTTGATACTCTGCTTTTGAAGGTGGTTTTCCGAGTTTGGGGTCTCTTCAATGCAGTGAAAGAGCATTCTACAATGGACATCCGAGGTACGTGCTTTCTTCTACGTGTTCTCCTCCCTCCTGCCTCCCTGCTTTCCAAGGCATCTCTTTTCTTTCTCGAGTGTTCTGTCCCTTCCACTTCCCTTTTCCCAAGCCCGGCCCCGCGCTCGCGCTCAAGCTCCCAGCACGCTGGTCAGCTCCCCAGTCCCGCGCACGCGCACCGGGCGCCGCCCACGCAGAGCCGGAGTCACGAGGCCGGAGGCGGAGCTCCGCCGAGGAGGCGGGGCCAGACCACAGCTCCGCAGCGCGCATGGGCGGGGCCGGCTCCGCGGGCCGCCCCGCTATATCTGCGCCTGCGCGGCGGCGCGACGGGGCCAGTCCGGACGGAGGAGACAAGATGGCGCTGCGGGCGATGCGGGGGATCGTGAATGGGGCCGCGCCCGAGCTGCCCGTGCCCACTAGTGGGCCGATGGCGGGAGCGCGGGAGCAGGTGCTGGCGGTGAGCCGGAACTACCTCTCCCAGCCTCGGCTCAGTGAGTATCGCGCGCCGGCCGCAGCCCCGGGCTGGGGATCACCTGCCCGGCGCAGGGCTGCCGAAAGGGCTGCTTCCCTCCGCGGGCCCCCAGACCCCCAGCCTTGAGTGTGCATTTCCGCGACCTAGGCGGCCGAGCACTGACTGGAATGTTCCCTGGGGCCGGTGGGCTCCTGGCGACCGCCCCACCCTCCCGGGTCCCTGGGGCTGCAACATTCTCAGGGCTTGCCTTCTCCTTGGCCACTTGTCACTGGGTCTTCCCCGCCTCCTGGCCTAGGTTGACGGTCTCGGGGTCGAGGGGACGCCCTCTCTGCGCCCTGAAGCTCTGGGCAGGTGGTTGTCTCCTGCCCCGGGTGGACCCAGCAGACGGGGTAGAGCTCTCGCTGACGTGGGCAGGCCTGTCTGGATGGAGGTCAGGTCCGCGGCTAAGAGGGAGATGCGGCTTGGTGGTGGAGGGACTGCTGCATGGACACCTAGATATCAGAGAACCTTCGAGCTGAAAAGCACCCTGCGAGTCATGCAGTCCAAGCCTCTCGTTTTACAGGCGAGAAGCTCAGGGTTCAGGGAAGAAGAGTTGCCAGGCATCTAATTATTAGCAAAGGAGGAACTGAAAAATCTAGATATCTTAATCCGTGCTGGGCCTTTTTCGACCTCTTCATTTGTTTGCTCATCAGTTAATCGACTTGGTTGAATTCAAGGTTCCTTGGCGAAACCAAGAAGCTTTGCCCTCATCTGGCGTTCTATGCATAGGCTCGTTTAAGTAATTATAAAAGGCCTTAATAAACCAGGTTTGAATAGACTAGTCAGCAGTTCCAAAAGACATGGCGGTTGGTTGCTGAAGATTAGAGTTGGATGGCATCAAACCTCTTCACAGCTTCCATAGAAATTGCGGGCTGAGCTTTGGAAGTAGACTTTTTAAAAAAAAAAAGCTTGGAAAATTAGGTTGTTTTCCAGGAAATAAGATTGATTGCGTTTGCTCTAGTTAATTGCCAGCCTGTCTCTGTCTGTGGGTGGCTCATTGGTTAAAAAGAATTTCAGATGAAGGGTTTTAGTGAGGCGCCCTCCAGACTGACTAATCCCATCCTGAACTGTCAGTGGGTCATGTGATAACACTGCACTGTGAGGACTGAAGAAAACACATTAGAGAGATTGGATTGCTTGGAATGGCATAAATTAGAGAATGCCTGTTGGGAGTTCTTATGAGCAGAAGTTAGTGTTTAGGAAATCGACAGATGTTGTATTCTGACATGCATCTTGGCAAATTTATGCCTAATGATTGCAGATTCTCATATGAATTGGATTTGTGTGCTCTCCTTTGGGCAAACTCTGTAGACATTAGTATTGCTTTTAGAAAAAAATTACATAAGGATACAATAGTGTGTTTCCAAATAATCATTCCCTGTCAGTTCAGAGAGTATCAAATGAAACAATGGCTCTGTCAGAAGACTACTCCCTGGCTACACTGTAGAGGGAGGTGGATATAATTTCTGCACCTTCTACATATGCTTAGCCAGTAGCTGAGGAATTTCTCCCGTAGAGCTTCCTCCTTACCAAGTTGCTACAGAAAGTGCTTACAGTGGAACCTCTGGCCTCCTCATCCTCCTGCTCACACAGTGTCCAACCTAGGAAGTGTCCTGAAATTCTTCCATTGCTTGCACTTAAACTCCCAATAGTTTATTGGATCGGTTCTTAATATAATGGAGTGAGTCAGGAGTTAGGATACCTGATTGGATTGAATTTCCCTCCTGTGAGCTATTTTAAAACATCAGAAATGATAATCCTACTTAGGTGAACATTAACTGCATTTGAATTACCATCTTTTGTCACATTTTTTATTCTAGTCAAGGATTGTAAATGTTCAAGTATTAACACCTTAATTTTTTAAAAGTTTGATGATGCTGTCTAAAGTACAGTTTAAGCACTCATTGAGTGAAGAGATGAGTAGCATCGCTAGGTGCCCAGTGCAAGCCAGAGCCTGCTAAGACACCCTCAGGTCTGTAGGGCTGTTGGGTAGAAATGGAAAGAAGACCAGTCAGCTCTGAAATCAGTAAATGCTTTTGAGTACATCGTTTGCCTTTCTAAATTCACAAGGAAAGAAAACTTGCCTTTCTTTTAAACCTTGACCAAAGACCAATAATATTTAAAGAGCTTTTGACACTAAATATTCTGAGCTTGATCATCTCTTTCTTAAGACCCATGTGTCCACTAACTTTAACTTTGTTGCATCATAAGCAGTTCCACAGGAAAATGTAGAGCAAGGAAATCATCTTGTTTTTCTTCTAGAACTTCACTTTCAGGTGTCCATTTCTCAGGGGTAGCGCTCTGCTCTTCTTGCATAACCAGGTAATTGCTTTCTGAGTTTTTGTTTTGCTATTAAGGTGGAGCCTAAAGAGCTAGAACTTATTGTGAAATGGCTGTCGACTGCTTTACTTTGACTATGTCACAATCCTTGAGGGTGTTAGTGGTGCTGAACAACCTCTTTCCCTGAAGGAGGAAAAGCATGTCATCCAACGAAGTAATGTGTTCTCTCACATCTTTGTAGATCTTGGGGCTTTGTTTATTGATTGGTTGGTTGGTGTGTTTTTTCGAGGCGGAGTCTTCACTCTGCATCCCTGGACGGACTGGAGCTTGCTGTGCAGTGTAACAGTCATCTTCCTGCTTCAGTTTCCCAATAGATCATGGATTTTTAATTTTTTTTCTGAGTTACTTATTTTTATACTATGTGTGTGAGTGTTTTGTTTGTGTCTATGTAAGTGCACCTATGTTGTGCAAAGCTTGTGGAGGTCAGAAGAGGGCAGCAGATTCCCTGGAGCTAGAGTTGTGAATGGTTGTTAGTCTCTATGTGGGAATCAGACCCAGGTCTTCTGGAATAGCAGCCGGTGTTCTGAACTACTGAGCCGTCTCTCCAGTCCCTGTCATTGGTTTTTGATGCTTGAAGAATAGTATATTGTCTTGGAAGCTGTACAAGACAGGGTCTCACTCTGTGGTCCTCGCTGGCTTGGAAATCATGTAGACCAAGCTGGCCTTGAACTCCCAGAGCTCCACCTGCCTCTGCCTCCTGAGGGCTGGGATTAATAAGGCAAGTGCCATCATGCCCTGCTGTTTCCAACTATTAACAGTTGTAAGAAGGGCTGAAAGGATATTGTTGAGGAATAAAAGGTGGTGTTTGTTTTTTGTGCTGTTTACTTGACAAGTACTTTCATTACTATGAAAAGGTCTGAACTTTGTATTTAAGCTATCTTCTTGTGCCTACTTATTGTTGAAGTGCTGGGACCTTTGAGATCCCCTTTTCAATTACACTGTAAGCTAAGGTCAGAGATGTTACAGGATAGTAGAGTAGCAACTATATAATTAAAGAAAAGCAAAACAAAAGAGTTAGTGAGTCTGGCTCCTGGCTCCTCCATTTGGTAACAGATTTCCCTGGGCTTTTAGTTTCCTTGAGTGTAAGGTAGATTGTAGCAACCTTGCTAACCTTGTAACATTTTATAAAGATAAAATCAGATAATCTGAAAATGCTCAGTGAAAGCATGCCACACTCTCCAAAAATTAAATTAGCAGTATTTTTATTTAGCTCAGGTTATGACATTTATTGGCTTAGTTTTGATATGTCACTTTAAGCTGAACAGAGTGTGTCCTCTCAAGATTTGTACCGCAGGTGGTGTCCTTGTGTTTTTCAGATTGCCACTGCGGGGAAACTGCACCTTCTTTGTCAGACGCTGGGTTCTTGGCCTGTAGAGCTTGTATTGCTTGAATATGCCGGTGACTACAATGGTTTCAGTAGAGGCCCCCAAACCTGCTCTTGTAGTAGCTACAGATGCATTGGAGGAAGATAGCTTTGCAGCAGTGACAGAGGTAGACACTAGAAAAATGTTGCCTGTGTGTTAAAGTAGAAATAGTTCCCATTTTTTATAGCTAAGACTATAGAGCCATGAAATTATTTTGAGTAGTGTTGCTACTTAATTCTTTTTGGTCTTTTTGAGACAGGGTCCTCCTGATAACCCCAGCTGGCCTAGAACTTGCTATGTTGACAGACTGGGCTAGTTTCAAGCTTACAGTGATCTACCTGCCTCTGCCTCCTGAGTGCTGGGACTAAAGGTGTGCGCCTTAGTGCCCTGCTCCATAATTCATTTTTTGAAATGGGGTCTCACTGTGTAGCCCAGACTGGCCTTGAACACTTAGGCTGGGCAAAGCGGCACATTCTTGTCATCTTAATCTAAGTGCTAAGATGACAAGAATGTGCCACTATGCCTAGCTTCCGTACATAATTCTTGGAAATAACGAGTCCCACTCCACAAAAGCAAAGCAACCCTGCCTGTTTGGGTTTAGGATTTGACCTGGAGTGCAGTTTAAGAACAAGTGACTGGAGATGGGCATTAGGTTCAGGTGCCTGGTCAAGCTACCTGTCTCCTCTGGGAATTAGTTGTCCCTTCTGAAACTTGCAGATCATAACTAGTGTATCAATACACTTCAGAGATTAAATGAGAAACACTTATCAGATGTGTTCTGGGCCTGTTGGCTGTTCATTAGTTAATTAATGTGCACTAACTGACTTTTAAAAGGATATGTATATACATTGTCATAGAGTGGATTTTCTTGTCCATTTGTTGTTGGGGATTGAACTCAGGGCCTTCTCATCCTGTCTCCTCTGTCAATCAGCTCCATTTGCCGGTTCTAGGAAAAGCCATGACTAATGCTGCTTTTTTCTTGGTCATGTGTTCAGCTTGTGACTGGCAAAACTCATAGTGTGGAATGAGTTTGGATTTTAACCATGAGATTCTGAAGTACAGTCTTTGAGATATTAGAAATTCAAAGAAGGTGCTTTCTTTGAGAAAAAAAAAAGAGAATTTTAAGAATTTGAGGGATTTTAATGACATTCTGTTTTGAGAATTTATCAGTATCACAACTGGATCCCCTCCCTGGAACCTCACTGTATAGGAAAGGTTTTGGGGAAGTCTGGGTTTCTTTTTCTTTTCTTTTTTTTTTTTGTTTGTTTTTTGAGATAGGGCCCTCCTAACTCCAGCTGGCCTGGAACTTGCTATATAGACCAGGCTGACCTGGACCTCACTGAGATCTGCCTACCTCTGCCTCCTAAATGCTGGGATTAATTAAGGGGGTGTGCCACCACACCTGGCTGGTTTCTATTTTTTTCTTAAACTGGGTTTCAAGAAGTCATGGAGCTGACTTTCTAGTTCTACAAAACGATTCTAGAAAATCATTGAAAATAGATTATTTGGAGTCTTTTAAAATGGAAACGAGGACATTTTCATTATTTTTGTTGTTATTCTAAGGCAAGGGTCTCAATGTGTAGTCCTGGCTGGCCTGGAACTCCCTATGTAGACTAGGCTGGCTGTGAATTCACAGAGAGCTCCCTGCCTCTGCCACCCCAGTGCTGGAATTAAAGGTGTATACCACCACACCTGGCCAGAGGTTTTTAAAAGCCTGGAATAATGTGTTTAAAAAAAAAAAGAAAAAAAAAAAAAAGCTATAGCCTATCTATCAAAAGTGATTCTAAATCACAGTTTTTTAAACCCTTAAAACTGCTAAGATAAAAGCCCAAAGGGAAGAAAGGAAAACTGAAATTTAAAGGGTGCTATATCTGAAAGTAAATGAACACCGAAAGCTTCATTCTGTTAATTACTCATCAGTTTTGTCATTTGTAATTTTGCTTTATGTTTAGACATCGACTGATTAGCTGGGGCTGTAGCTCAATGGTAGAGCACTTGCTTAGTTTAGCATTTACTGTTTTAGAGGACCGGTGTTCGATTCCTAGCACCCACATGGCAGCTAACAATTTTCCATAACTCCAGTTCCAGGGGATCCAGTGCTCTCTTCTGGCCTCCGCAGGCTTTGCACAACACAGGTGCACTTACATACATGCTGGCATTACACTCATACACACATACACACACACACAAAAATAGTATAAGGGGCTGGAGAGATGGCTCAGCAGTTAAAGGCAATGACTGTGCTTGCAGAGGACCCGGTTCGATTCCCAGCACCTACATGACGGCTACAAAATGTCCTTAACTCCAGTTCCAGGGGAATCCAACACCCTCTTCTGATCTCCGGGGCATTGCACGACAGGGATGCACTCACATACATGCAGGCAATATATTCATACATATAAAAATAATAAATAAAATATTTTTAAAAAATAGTATAAGATTGTCTGAAAACAGTGGGGTGCTTTTAAAAAGTGGGCTGAAAATATCACACATCTTAAGGGGAAAGATTGGCTTTTCATATTGCCATCTGTTTAGGTGCTTACCTTTCCAAATTGTGAGGTGTTTTTCTTTTTTAATCCAGGGTTTATTAAAAAGCAATCTCTGTTGGGGACCTCTACTGAGAACCTCACAGTTCTGATATTTTCAAATAAACACTTGATACCTGGCTGTAAGTGTCTCAGGTGTATGAAATAGAGTCTGCCTGCCCCTTCCCAGAATTCGTCCAGGACACTTTCCTCCTGGCCTTGGGCTGAAGGGATTCTGAAGCTCAGAGTGGACAGACTGGTCACTACATGGTTTCCTCATTCCCAGGATGATATTTGTGCCAGGAGTCTTTGTCCACACTCCTTACAAGATCTCAAAAGAAATCAAGCATGTGAAAAATTCCTCATCGATTAACAGCATCATCATATAAATTATTATTATTTTCTTCAAAAACGTATCTGTTTTTAGATGTTCTAATTATGAAATATAGTGAATTCTGAAGTTTCCTGTTAAAATGCTCTTTCCTAAGGATTCGTTTTTATGTTGAATCACCATGACATTTGCCAGCAAGGGCCACTACCTCCTTTCTGAAATGCATAGTAGACTAGAAGTTTCTTTCTGGGGCATACTTTGCAGTGATAATATCAGTCTCTAGTCTGTTAGTAACATTTGGCTCTTGTTTGTTTTGGGGACAGGGTCTCACATTAGCCAAGGCTAGCCTGGAATTCACCATCTCTTCCCTCTGCCTTCTTGGCTTACAGGCATGGAACACTACACCCTGCTGATCCTAAAAAATTCTCTATTGTATATGTACTTAAATTTTTACTATGTTTATTATTTGTGAGTGTATATGTGTTTGTAAGTGTGTGGTCATGGCCCAAATGTGGAGGACAATTTGAAGGAGTCAGTTCTATTTCACCATGTAGGGAACTCCAGACCATCAGGCTTGGTGGCAAGTGCCTTTACCTGCTGAGCCCTCTCACCAGCATATTTTTTAAATTTTATTTTATGTGTATGTGTGTATTGCCTGCATGTATGTAAGTGCTCCTGTGTTGTGCAATGCTGGTGGAGGTCAGAAAAGGGCGTCAGATCCCCTGAAACTGGAATTGCGGATGATTGCTAGGCACCATGTGGGTGCTGGGAATCTAACCCGGATCCTGTGCAAGAGTAGCCAGTGCTCTTAACCGCTGAGCCATCTCTCCAGCTCTCACCAGAATATTTTTAAGAATATCTTTGTTGCCTGGTTGGTCACCCCTGCTTGTAATCCCAGCACTTGGGAGGCTGAGGTAGAATTGCTGCAAGTTCAAGGCCAACCTGAGCACCACCCTGTTTCAAAAAACAAGTAAAGAATACTTACTTTGCTTGACCCCTTGATCTGCTTTACCATCCCTGCCCCCCCTTCACAAGCTTTTTCCAGTTTCTATGATCCTGTTTCATTACAGCGTCCCCTCCTTTTTCTCGTGTGTTCTCTTACTTCTCAAAGCTGTAAGGATTGCCTTTTCCCTCTTCATCTGCTGAGCTGGGTGCCACCTTCTCCACGCTGTTCTTTCCTTCAGGTAGAAACCATTACTGTTTTTGCAGTGCTCCCGGGAGCCCTCTCCATGCCCCGTGTTAAAACGGGATTTTTAAAGGCGGGCAACCACCTTTATCAGTGCTTAGTTAGTATCCTGGGTGCTAAGAAAATGGCTTACTCAGTAAATTTCAAACTGTTTTGAAGATGGGTAAATAGAAAGTACAGGAACAGCTGTATTTTAAACATTAATTGGAAAATTGTGTAGCATTTGAGTATTCTGTGTTGTAACAGGTATATAAAGTGGAGAGGCTTTTGGTAATACCAGAGAGGCTCTTGAGTTGTTTCACTAAAGCTGACTCTTTTCTCTTTCCAGCATACAAGACAGTATCAGGAGTGAATGGTCCGCTAGTGATCTTAGATCACGTGAAGGTAATGTCACTGTCCTGCATGGTCTAGCTGTTTGTAAAAATGCAGCCTTAGCTGCCTGTGGTGTTCCACACTTTTAATCCCAGCACTTGGGAGGCAGGTGGGTCCTTGGGAACAGAAAATAAATTGGGGAACATTTGTAATAGAGTGGAATGCATTTTCCCTTTAACTTTATCACTAAAATAACATTTCCGTGTGTGGCAAGGAACCCTGACATTAATCTTAAGAGGAAGCCTTCCTCCTGGCCAGCTTCATATTAGCCCCAGATTGATCAAATCCTCAAAGAATTACACTCAGATCTTCTAAGATTTGGGCAAGTATCTGTTAATGTTGTATGAGAGACAGAGCCTAGACTTTTATCAGGTATTTGTGCTTGAAAATTTTTATTTTAAGGGTTTCTTTTGATGTGTATGTGTTTCTGTGTATATGCACACGCACCTGTGCGTGTGTGGAGTCCAGAAGAAGGCATTGTGTGTCCTCTGACACTCCCTGCCTGTTCTTAGAAGCAGGGTCTCTCCCTGAGTCTGGAGCTCCTGTTCACTCACTAGGCTGGACACCCACAAGCTCCCGCCATGTTCCCGGCTCTGTCTCCTTCAGAGCCAGGTTTGCAGGTGTGTGTGAGATGGCCAGTTTGTTGCACAGGTGATGAGCTCTGAACTCCAGTTCTCATGATAACATGGCAAGTGCCCTTAACCTGCTGAGCCATCTCTCTAGCCCCCTATCCCTCAGGGATTTTGGATTTTTCAGTCATTCTCTGTGGCTCAGGCTGGCCTAGAATTGAGTATGTAGCATTATTTGACCTCTGACACATGGCTGTCTCCTGCCTCAGCCTCCCAAGTGCTGGAATTATAGTTAGGCATGAGCTATCACACCAAACTATTTTTTTCTTTTCTTTTTCCCTCCTTCCCTCTCCTCCCTCCCTCCCTCCCTCCCCCCTTTCTCCTTCCTCCCTCCCTCCCTTCCTCCCTTCTCCTTCCTCCCTTCCTCCCTTCCTTTCTTTCTTTAGTCTTTTTGAAACAGGGTATCCCAGGCTATCCTCAGTCTCCCTATGTAGCCAAGGATAACTTGAACCACTAATCCTTCTGTCTCTACCTAAGTACTGGGATTATGCTAGGCAAGTGCTCTGTACCATTGAACTAAAGTCCTAACCCCATTTTTGTTTTTGAGGAAAATATTTGTAAGCTTTATTTTCTTACCATCTCCACCTCTTTTTTCTACAGTCTTTGCTAAATAAAATTCGGGCTCGTTTTAAAACTGCAATTTATTTTATTTTGGTTTTTTGAGACAGGGTCTCCCTGTAGCCCCAGCTGGCCTGGAACTCACTACGTAGACCAGGCTGGCCTTGAACTCACAGAGATCCGCCTGCCTCTGCCTCCCAAATGCTGGGACTAAATGTACACCACCTTGCCCAGCTCTAAAAATAGAATTTTTAAAAAGATTTATTATATGCATGTGTGTGAGCTTGGGTGACTTTATGTGCACTGTGCATGAGGAGCCAGAGGAGGCCAGGAGAAGGTGTACAATACTTTGGAACTGGAGTTACAGGCGGGTGTGAGCTACTTCATGAGGGTGCTGGGAACTGAACCTGGGTCCCTTTAAGAACAGTAAGCACTCCTGACTGCTAAGCCATCTCTCCTGTCCCTAAAATAGAATCTTTTTTAAATGTTAGTAAATATATTATTAAAAAGCAGCTAAACATTTAGGTTTTCAGTTGTGTTAAGCTCTGAGCTCAGCACAGAAAATATAATGGTGAGCCCTGAGAATGGCCTCCCCATTTGGAGCATGCGCATACCTTTGTAAGAAGTAAGGGTGTGAAGGTGTGTGTGTGATGCCATGAGAGACCAGACCGTATTGGTAAGGGCTTCCGCAGCTCTGGGGAAGCAGTCTTAAGAGAGTTGAGAAGCTTCTTTGGGTGTTACTTTGGGGTAAGGTCCAGGTAAGAAAACGATCGCAAATAATTTTTTTAGTACAATGTTTTATACACACAGCGTACACCATATGATCAAGAACCACATAATTATATAGAAATACTTTCTGAATAGAAGGTGGCGATCTGCTCTCCAAGTCATGTCTAAGAATGCAAAACCAGAGTAGTGCTAGGCTGGAAAATAAAGTTCTTAATAAATGCACTTGTGTAGCCAGGCATGGTGGCGCATGCCTTTAACCCCAGCCCTCGGGAGGCAGAGGCAGGCGGATCTCTGTGAGTTCAAGGCCAGCCTGGTCTATGTAGTGAGTTCCAGGACAGCTGGGGCTACAGGGAGACCCTGTCTCAAAAAGACCAAATAAATAAATAAATTAAATAAATAAATAAATAAGTAAATAAATAAATAAATAAAGATAATGCACTTGTGTTAGGTATTAGTAAAAGTAAAACTACCTGTATAAGAAAGTAATGCACATGACAGAAGTAGTGTTTATCCTAGTAAAATAAGATTGACTTTCTTGTAAATGTAGCCGTGTAATTAAAAACTTTCATGGATTAAGCTTTAAAACCTTATGCTCCTTTTAGTAACTCCAGGAAAAATACCTGGTGAAATAAATAAGAAAGCTTCTTACGGAACAAACATAACCTCTTTACAAGCATCTACAACAAAGACAGCAAGCCAACAGCGCACTCAGGAGTCCCTAGTAACGGTGCTGTGTAAGTCATTGAGAGCACCTCCCGTTTCTCCCTGGCTTCTACTCTTGGTACTTCTGACACAGAGGGACAGGTTCCTCCACAACAGTGAGTTCAGCCTTTCAGTAGACCTGAAATCTGACTCATTTCTGACACTGTCTGCAGATCCCACAGGCTTATTAGTCACATACATAGACTACTGTGTCTAGGTTACACGCAGCTGTTGTCTGACTTTGCTGTAAATCAGAGGTTCTCTCTTCATGTTCCATAACTTGCTAGAACTTCTCACTCAAAGCAGAAAAACAGTTAATTTACCACTACTGACTTATCATCAAAGCTGTACTTAGGTGTATATGAACAGCCAGATGAGGAAATACATAAAGTCCCAAGGAGTCCTGAGTGCAGGGCTTCTGTCCTGTGGGAGTGTGAAAGGGGCGTGGGGGGGGTGGCACCCTGTGAATATGTATGTGGGTGTCTTCTTTTCACCTGCAATCAAGTTCTCCCAACCTCTGTGGTTAGTATTTTTATGAAGAGTTCATTGTTGATCAACTCTCCCTTCCTCAGGTCTGAGGATGGGGTGTTGGAAACTTCTAGTCTTCTAGCTGGCTGTTTGTTTCCCCTGACAGCCAGTACTCCTCCCTCCCCCCTTTGTTCTTAGGGCTTTGAGACATCATGTTAGGGTACACGTGTGATTGAAAAGAGCTTGCTGTGAATAATAGAAGGTGTGCTTTCATCTTTGTTGTTCCTGTTACCTAGGAAATTACAAGGGTTTAAGGAACTCTGGACTAAAGCTAAAGTAATCAGGTCCGAGATGAGAATGCCTGTTTTCACGTGACCATTGCTGTCCATCTTGTTGGTTGACATGAGCAATGCAATGGGGAGAATTTGAGTGTAAAGGAATTGGAAAGGCAGTGGCTGTCATCATTTCTTGATATGATAATGCAGATGCCCCAGTTGAACTGTTAGAACCATCAGAAACATGCTATAGAGCAGGGTTGTGGATGTAGAAGTCAGTTATGGTCTGTATAACTAATTACGTACAGAAAACTTTAAAATTTACTGTAGATAACCATAAAGACATCGATATTCCATTTACTTTGAGTGATTCCACTTAATTTCGAATACATGAGTAGACCCAAAACAGTAGAGGTTGAGTCTCCCCAGCCACTGCCACCAGCGATGGAGTGAGTAGGCGTGAGGATTTGGTGAAGGAGTCAACATGCCTGTGCAGCAAGGTTAAGAGCCCACAACAAACTCAGCACACATGAGGTCTTTGCTTATTTATTCATTCATTCACTCATTTTGAGACTGGTGTAGCCTAGGCTGGCCTGGAACTTGGTGCTTCTCCTGTTTCAGCCACTGAGTGCTGGAGTTACATCTGGCACACATGAATATTTGACTTGGAATATTGGGTATTATGAGGCCAAGGGAGACACTTTCTGCTAATCAAATATTGTTAGGATTATTCATTTCCAAAATGAAAATGAGAAAAACTAAATGGATACTTAAATTAACTCGAAAGACCTAAAATGAAACATAAGTACTGAAGGCCATTTTTATGACTTTCAGGTAGAAGCTTTTCCTAAATAAGCAGAAAAAGCATAAATCATAAAAAACAGTAATACATTTTATTCCATAAAAGGTTTATGTACTTTTGTGTGAAAGAAGGTGCTGTAAACAACATTAAAAGATATGAAGCAAATTTTTTCTAGGAAAATTAATGCCCAGATTCCATAAAACTACAGATGAATAAGAAGGTAAAAGATTGGCCAAAGATACAGGGAAAGAATATCTGTTTGTAGTAGTGAGGACATGGTAAGTCAGTGCAGTACCTTTGCAAATAATTGGTCAGAATGGGCACCGTCAGTATGTAGCGTACCAACTTGTGTGTGGAGTTCCATGCAAGAATAAGGGTTTATTGTATCATTATTGTACTAGTGTAAACATGGAACAACCTTGTGATTCATTGATTGAGCAGCTGAATGAAATATAACATGGTCATTTTTGACTGTGTCAGTTAAACATTAATTCTAAGATGCCCATTCACATTTTAACTTCTCCAACATTCAAAGGTCTTATAATCCACTAATGTGCAGTAGCTTGGAGGGTGTTTTTTTTCCCCCACATCACACAAAATGATGAATCTTTCAGTTAGTCATGTTAGTAGTTAAAAGGACACAACATATGTTAAACACATGTCAACTAAAGTTAAACAAGTTGCTGAATGATGAATTTAGTACTTTTCCACTTAAGTACATAGATCAGCTGGATGTGGTTGTTCAGGAGTTTGTAATCCCAGAACTTGGGAGGAAGAGACAGGAGGATCAGGAGTTCATGGTTATCTCTGTTACACGATGTGCTCAGGGCCAGCCTTAGTTACTTTACATCCTGCCTCAAAACAAAAATAAACAGACAAAAAGGATCTTTTGGAGATGATACATTTTTAAATAGATTAGAGGGATATCTTATCTGTTTAGAAGCAAATTGAAGGAGACTGAGCATGAGTCCAATACAATAAATGTGATTGCTGTATTTTCACAGGTTAATACTTTTCTCTCTGTACCTTAATACTAGTTTGCCAGTATGTGTGCCCATGGATGTGTGTTAAAAGGACTGCCACTAAATTGACATGAGCTTGCCAGTGTTGGAAGGTGGGAGGAGTGCACAGACAGGGCCGTGGTGGGGATGGCATAGAGAGTAGGTTGGGGAGCTTTGTAGAATATTGGTTATTGATCTTTTGTTTTTGTTTTTGTTTTTTCCCTGCTTAGTTTCCCAGATATGCTGAGATTGTCCACTTGACACTACCAGATGGCACAAAGAGAAGTGGGCAAGTTTTAGAAGTTAGTGGTTCCAAAGCAGTGGTTCAGGTAAGTATCACTCACAACCTGTCAGTTGAGCTGTCTCCTGACTGAAGACACAGAAGGGGCTCCATGAAAGGAGGGCAGCAGAAGGCTACATTCACTAATTGTAATGTCAAAATGATTCAGTTCTGATTCAGTGCCTTAAGTTCCCGTTCCTTACAGTTCCCAGTTTAATGCTATGGGAAAGGAAAGGTTTTTCAAATAGTGTGTTCAAGATGCCAGACAGCAGTGGTTTTTAGGTTTTATAGGATGACCTGAAGTTCTTGAATTTTCTTTTTTTCTTCTGCTTTGAACAACCTTTTATACAAGTAAATGCCATTCTCTGCTTGCTTATGACAGTGGTCTGGTTATAAGTGTCCATGATCTAAACTCCCTTTCCCTTCTGATTGATTCTCTTTCTTGATAGGTATTTGAAGGGACTTCAGGTATAGATGCCAAGAAAACATCCTGTGAGTTTACTGGGGATATTCTTCGAACACCAGTCTCTGAGGATATGCTTGGTAAGTGGGCGTTGCCGTTGATTCCGCGTGCAGATCTATTTCCTTTTAAACATGCCCATGTAAAATCTAAAACATATATAGAGATGTGGAGGTTCAGTTCTATTCTCTCTTATTACTGTTTTACAGGTCGGGTATTTAATGGATCAGGAAAACCCATTGACCGAGGTCCTGTGGTACTGGCTGAAGACTTCCTTGACATCATGGGTAGGGCAATAAATGGGTTCTGTTTGAGGGAAAGTAACCTCTGTCTCCTGGGAACTTTGGCAGATGGAGAATCGTTTTTGAAATATCATTCTAAGATAACCAGTGTTCTTGTTAGGTCATAAATTATGCAGTTACTTTATTTATTACTTAATAAATGAATTTTACCTGTAAATTAGCTCAGCATTTTATGTCAAGTATTAAGGTATTGTAAAATATCACTAGAGCAGGTAAGACCATGGCTTCAAAATTAAATTTCTTACGTGTAATACTTTTCCTTTCACTTTAGGGACTTGAACTCCATTGCTGTGTGTTATAGGTATACGGAGGACTAAAGGGGAAAAATTCAAGTTTGAGACTTAAAAAGATAACTGATTTTTTTTTTTTCTTTTAAGTAGAGAGAAATGCCTTATATAGTCATGTCTGGTCTTCTGGTGTTTTATTTCTACTTCTATTCATGGATACACAGACATGCTAAAGTTTTCCCTTTTGGAAACCCAATAGGTCAACCAATCAATCCTCAGTGTCGAATCTACCCAGAGGAGATGATTCAGACTGGTATTTCTGCCATTGATGGCATGAATAGCATTGCTAGGGGACAGAAAATTCCCATCTTCTCTGCTGCTGGCTTACCCCACAATGAGGTGAGAACTAGTGTTTGGTGTGACATTTAGCAAGAACATTTCTACAGTGGTCTCTTACTGAGGAACCAGATGAAAATCCAGCATATTGTTTGTCTCGCCCAGTTACATTGAAACTTTGTGCATGCGTGTCTGGATTCTTGCTTATACTTTATCTTTGTTGAGGAAGTCTCCTAAGACACCCCCAGTTTCACTCATTGAGAAAGTATTTAAGATTTGAGGGTAGACATTATTGTGGAAGTGTTATTTTAGTTTACAGCTTAGTTCTTTGAATCCTCAACAGATTGCAGCTCAGATCTGTCGCCAGGCTGGTTTGGTAAAGAAATCCAAAGATGTAGTGGATTACAGTGAGGAGAACTTCGCAATTGTGTTTGCTGCTATGGGTGTAAGTAAAGTGTTTTCCTATTTTAGTGGAGCACATAAATTGTGTTACTGGAATAAAGTAGTATAATACATGTATGTAATGAACTTAATCTCTAGGTACAAAAGTTGTACCTTTTGGCCAAACTAAAGAATAAAATTTAGCATGTGACTAAAACTTAAGAATAATATTTTTTGTGCTCAAACTGCTTTACTCTGTTCACTTTTGAAAAAAGAGAAAAAGAAAAGAAATAATTGGGATGCTTGAAGTTTTTTAAAAATTATTTTTTACTTCATGTGTATGAGTGTTTTACCTGCGTGTATGTAAGTACACCAAGTGTATGCAGTGCCCATGGAGACCTGATAGGATGTCAGACCCCTGGAACTGGAATTACAGATGGCTGTTAGCCACCATGAGTATGCTGGAAGCTGAACCAGGTCTTCTGGAAGAGCAGCCAGTGCTAATAACCACTGCCATCTTTCCACCCCATCTTGAAGTTTTAAAGGAGGGAATGATTTAGGTCCACAGCTTGCCTTTTATCAGAAAGAAACATTGAGAGCTTTCTCCCACCACTGATGAAGTCATTGATATTTAGGTAAATATGGAAACTGCCCGATTCTTCAAATCGGACTTTGAAGAAAATGGCTCAATGGATAATGTCTGCCTCTTTTTGAACCTGGCTAATGACCCAACGTAAGTAAATACAGCTGTTTCCTCCTGTTCACACAGACTAAGGATCAAAGGTGATGAGGGAGGTAAAATGTTCCCGTAAACTTTGGGAATGATGTAGCCCTAAATTCTAGCCCTGCTTCTTGGAAGCTGCTTGGCTTTGGGCAAATTACTTAGACTCGGAAGCTTGTAAAATGTGACCAATGATGCCTGACAGGACTGTTGCACATATTAAATGAGATCATATATAAAAGTTACCTGGGACATAATTGATACTCAGTAAATAACTGTTCTTCTTACCTGGGAAATGTGTTGTCCATTCCCTTTGCCCTCCTTTTCTTATACCCCTTTCTCAGTGCTCAGAGGCTGCTTAGCTCTGAGAAACTAACATTTGTGAAATAGTTTAACTTTGTGTCACTAAGTAATTACGTAAAGACACTTAACTGCCTCATGAAGCATTTTTAAAATAATTGTTGCTTTCTTTCCGCTCCTCAATTTATAAAAACTTTAAAAGGAAAACTGCCTTTGTTTCCAGAATTGTTTGATTATGACTTTTTGGTTTGAGTGACCAGGCTTTGCCTCCCTTTCAGTATCGAGCGAATTATCACTCCTCGCCTGGCTCTGACCACAGCTGAGTTTCTGGCTTACCAATGCGAGAAACACGTACTGGTTATCCTGACAGATATGAGCTCTTACGCTGAAGCACTTCGAGAGGTAACTTGCCCTTCTGTTGTGTTTTTCTTTTTCCTCAGTCAAACAATGGGTCGGTTTCTAGGGTTATCGTGACCCTTTGTCATTTTCCATTTTTTTTCAATCATGTTTTTGAACTCATTGGTTATTTATTAGTAGAATGTCTTAATCAGAAAAGACAATATAGCTTCTTTTCTGTCCACTTGGAAGTGATAGAAAATGAAATGAAAACTGGTGGCCTGCTTGTCTTGCCTCACTTGTCAGAGGGCTTGGGAGCTGGTGGAGTGGGAGTGCACCTTTAATCCCGAGGATCTCTGAGACCAAGGCCAGCCAGCATTACATAGTGAGGCCCTGTCACATGCACACCTCAGAAAAACTGACTGTAGGAAAGAAAACACTGCAAGCTGTTCCTTCCTTCCGTTGCTGTCTAGGAAGTTCTATCCACGTTGGCAGATTTTAACCCTTTTCAGATTTCTAGTTTTAATGATATATTTTTATAACTAGCCTAGAAACACTGTCTTTGGAACGTTTTCCTTCAGAAAACCAAATGTTCAGTATTATTATCACCCAGTTTTAAGGTATTCATTCTTAGACAAAATACTGATACTTTTAGTAAGCTCCTCTTTTAAGCACTCAGGACTTCTGAGAAACCTGCTCCATAAATACCTGACTTTTACAAATTCCCTGGGGTCATCACCATATGTTACAGTATGTCTCAGGCTAATTCTGGTGAAGGACTAGAGTCATTGCAGCAGTTGTAGGAGATCAATACCTTTATTAAAGACAACACAAGTGAGCAGTTTAGAGAAGCAACTTTTTAAGATACACAGTTTTCAAGTTTTCTTCACATTGGATTCAGCAGCATAAAGATGTTCTGCCAGATAGCCATGGCAGCTCAGCTGCTCGCCCTGCTCACAGTGTTGTCTCACTGTGCGTCGGCGACACTGGTCT